TACCCACTGAGACCCGGAGGCAATAAAGCTCATTGTCATCGCAGTTCCCAGTGAGCAATTTATAGCGGTGGCAGCAACACACGGACGCACGGCTCACGGGCAGGACCTGTCGAGAAGCGGTGCTGATGTTGGCCAGCCGCGCAGCTCGCCGACAAAGAGAGACCGCTCCAAAATGAGAGACGCGCCCGGTGAGACGACGCGGGAGGGGCATCGCGGCACCGCCGGCCGTCTGGAGCTGGAGCGCCCGCGCCGCGTTCAGGGCCTCGCTCCATCCGCAGCCCTGGTCGTCTCAGAGACTGGACAAAGCCACAGGGACACGGGGCGGTTACCGCAAGACAAACAAGGCACCAGCAAATGGGAATCTCTCTTTAGTAAGCAAGGCGAGAGTCTTTTCACACTAACGCTGTTACAGTGAACTGAGAAAATATAATACTGATGTGAACAAGGCTTCATTCTTAAGGCCCCAGAGAGAGCAAGATGGAAAAAATATACTTTCTTTTTCAACAGGCTTGAAAAATTTAAAAAGATCCAGAAGCAAAAGAAAAACTGGGGGTCACCACAGAAGTGTCTTCATGTCATATGATCGGACATGGACGTTCAAACAAGTTTAATTAGAGCGACATACGCACAGTGTCACCGAGTCACTCTGGTCTCTTTTATCGCTTCCCCAGCGGTGATAAATCAGCATGCCGCAGGTCCCCGCACAGCTAATCTACATTAAATAAATGTTCCAGTTCACCCAGAACACTTTATATAAGCCCATAGGTAAGATGTTTATTACAAAGGGTGATTCATTCACTGAGCGAATGCTGGCCGAGGTCCTCTGTGCACCGACCGTCTCTAGGACGCACAGCGGGAGCGTCAGGTTGGACGGTCCCGGTTAATCTGTCATTGACCTGGGTCAACGCGTGCTCACCTTGTGGACAGTGGCACTCGTTTGAGGAGCAAACTCGCGGGGAGAATGCAGGCCAAAGAGAACCACGCAGTCACGCGGAGCAGGGAACCGACAAACGCTCAGCAGCTGTCTCTCCCAAGGGCCCCCCGTACGGCGCTGCCCATTCCCGCAGTGTAAACACTCCCCTGCAGCCCATTTCCAGCAACGAGGTGGCCTCACTGAACAGGGAGCGGGGCAGAGACTCGGCTCAGGCACCTGCCGGCCCTAGGCCGCCCCTGGGCGGTCGCTGAGCCCTCTCCTGCATGTGTGTTTGCTGAATCAGAGCCTAGACACTTCCGCGGCCAAGAGAGGCCTCGGCACCTCGTGATGGGGCTTGAGAGGATATGGGACCTTGCTCTTTCCCAGTGATATTCTTTATTAATCACAGTACAGTTTTGATCATTTTTTTACTGCCCGGAGGCTAAATAAACCTGCTATTCTGAAAACATCTGTTTAAGAAAAGTGCCCTTCATTCGGCCAGGAAAAGCGTGGGCCAGCCCGGGCCTCCTGGCTCTCAGCAGCTTCGACACTTCACACGGGCCCAGGCTCTGTCTTTCTTGTCTCTTACAATAAGAGACAGCCGGGCTTCATGGTCGCCGGGGCCAGGGAAGGGAAGGAAGGGAAGCCTGCGAAGCAGCCTTCGGGATTATCACGCTCCCAAGTATCCACGCAGGCAGAGTGGGATCGATTGGGAGAAACAAACTAGTTCCTCCCGATCATGAATGTGTGAATAGGATGAGTCCAAATCTGTAACAGGTTAAACTGCAAAACTAGCGAGATGACTCATCAATATAAATGCCAGAACGTCGCTTCATCCGCCACGATTAAAAACAGGCCCAGCAGCCCCCGTGCCGTCTACCAGGAACACAAAGGAGCGCTCCCTGCACGCCGCCAGGACCCAGGCGGGGGAGGCGGAGGCCTTCGGCGCCGGAGGCACCCGCGCACCCTCCCCGGCCTTCGTGCTCTCGCGTTGAAATGACCTTCCAAGTGACCGTCTAGATGCCCCTTCTTTATGGCTCTGTATGGCTCTGTGGAGAGTCCAGCTCTCACCCAATTAGACAAAAATAGTCCCGCCCGCTCTAGCAGGACCCGTGTGAGTGCAAACAAAACCCACATTCATCACTGTAAGGGCCCCCCCTGGGGGCTGCTAGGTCGGCCTGCCTCCCGTTTGCTCCTGGAAAAGGCAGCTTTGCGACAACGGAGAGGCAGGAGCATCCGGCACCACGGGCGGCTAGCGGGCAGGCCGCTCCATCTTTGGCCTCCTGGGGTGTTGTTATGTTTCCAAGGAAAATCACCGAGTCAGAAAGTAATGCTCCGGAGCATCTGCGGCCGGGAAGTCCCAGGAAAGGGCAACGGCGCGAGATGGCACGGCCCCGCCCGCCCACAGCCGGCGTGTCAGCCCGGTCCACCCCCCGACCGCGGGGGGGCCCATTCGTTCGCTGGCTCTTGTAGGACGCGCGTTCACACCGGCCAGCCGGTACTGGCTCTGACGCAGCTCACCCTCTTTTTCAGGGGAGGCCAAAAACAAACACACACACACACACACACAAACACCTTGCGCCCCGGAGATTCGCGGAGACTGTTGTCTCAGGGGTCCTCGCCCTGGCCTGGGCATGCCCCGCGGCCCAGGGCGACGTTCCCAGGCGATGGTCTGCGTGCCGTCCCAGCGGCCTCTCTGGTTGGTGTTTGGTCATCGGGAGCTCACAGTGAACTCACACACACGCGCGTGCAGGCTACGGGTGCTGGCTACGATGTCGGTCTGGCTCCGAGATCTTGGACCAAGATATCCCCAACATTGCTGAGCTCCATGCTTTGTTTTGTTTGATTTAATGTGCAAAGCGAGATAACGCATATTATCGAAGCCGTTGGATTTTTAGTAAGTTCAAGGAGATAACGAAATTGAAATGCTTAGCAAAGTTGCTGGGAAACTCAGCTCATCGAAGGCCTCGTTGCTATGGTTACCATTTGCCGGGAGCTCTGGTGCCCCGGTTACATGGAAAATAGCAATTAGATGGAATGATGAGCTTTCTTCATGATGGCCTCGCACACACAACAGCAGGCACACACGCGTGTTCTGGAATCGTTGCTTCATTATTTCTTTTTTCCACACAGTCCTCAGAAGTGTGTTTTCCACATAGAAGCTCAATAAATATTTGTCGAAAGAACAAATTCAAGTTTTACAAACCCTTATTAGTTCCTTTTTTTTAAAAAAAAAAGGAAAAAGTAGTACAATTTCCCCGTGAACTTCCTCATTAGAAGAACTTTGCCCCCGCCCCGCCCTGGGGCAGCGGAAGAGACAGACGGTGTGGTAGGTGAGGAGGGACGGGGAACCCGCGCAGCCCCAGGCTGGCTCGCACGGTGCCAAGGCGGACACTTCACCTAGAATCTTCGACACGTCTCTCCAGCGTGAACACAATGCCGATAACCACATACACATTTTCAGTCACAGGGATTAAGTGACTGATAAACATCAGGTCCCCCTGGAAGCTACAAACCACCACGTCACACAATCCACAACTTCAGTTCTGAAAGAAGCTGGTTCCATGGTGACTTCCAGATGTGCAGTAACAGCACGCAGAGATCCTCGCGCTCAGCTGCGATGCTGTCGGCGATTTTTCTGGGCTTAATGCCAATTAGTATCAAGAGATAACGTAACATTATCGATAGGCGCCGTCTTGAAATCTCCCCACACAATCGATGCATCCTCAGGAAGGCCAATGTCGTATATAAACACCAATAAACAGGAGAACAAAGACGCCCGGGCACTTTGTTGGCCTCTACCAGCCATTTAATTTGGGAACCAAGCTTCCCTGCAAGTAAATTCCATCCCAGAAAACCATCTTAACGTCGCCCTACAGCAGAGGGTTAGCCTTTAAGAGCCTTGGTCATATTTTTAAACATCACGCTCGTCAACGTTCAGGCTTAGAGCCAACGCCGTGGGATGGCCAATCCCTGGGACCTAGCACAGCGAGTGAGTCATAAATATCCGCGGCAAGAGACCCAAGGTGCCTCCGGGGGGAACATAACATTACTCCGTATCACGGTCAGGCCGATCCTGCATCTCAGCATCAAGGCCAGGTCAAAGGGCACGCCACAGAGCCCGGGCTGCCTGGACGGGAGGGCTGCGGGGCCGCGGGGCCCCAGGAGGGGGGCAACGCAGACCCTCCCTCGGTCAGCGGGGCCGCGGCCCGGGACTCTGCTGCTCGTTGGGCTGCGGACCAGGATCTAAGTGCGTTCCGTGTAAACGGTGATCGGTTTAAAAGATGGCAGTTGAACGCACACACGGGATTGGTGCTTAAGAGCACGGGAGAACTGTCCCAGGACGTCCACGTCACAACCGAAAACGTGCAGGGCACACCCTGTCCGCTTCGCTCATTTGACCATCTACTCGCGACGCATCGCTGACTACATGGGACGGGCCTGGGACGTCAGTGGCTCTGCCCGTCCGCCCTGGCGGCCGTGGGCCTGGAGGTGAACCAGCAGCAGGCACAGCCTCCGTGAGCTCACAGACACCAGCGCCCGCTCCGGAGGCCGCGGAACCAGGCTGCCTCTCTAACGAGGCTGGGACGCTGGCGGGGCGGCTGGTCACCGGCGTTGACTACAGGCCGCCCTGGAGGCTGTCGCTCTCTGTTCCTGAGCAAAAAGCCCTTCTCTCAGAGCCGAGCGATCTGGGAGGGAAGGAAGCAGGGTCCCGGTGTGTGGACACGCGCCACCCGGCGTGAGCCCCGCGCCCTCGCGGGGCGCACGCTCAGGGCCTCCAAAGGGGCCACTCCTCATTTCTAAGCCCCGTTAACACAGGTTCGTAAGTCACAGCAACAGCACTGTATGGGGAGGGGCCGTCGTGGGAACTTCAGGCGAGCTCAGTGCCTCTTGGGGGCGTCCTTTCCCAGGAATACTTGTTATTTGCCTAATTCAGCCACAAACGTATGTCCAAGCAACAACCTGCCCGGATGTTACTCAACAAAAGTGTCCTAGAGTAAGAGATCGTGTAGATAACTGTGCGCACCCAGACACTGGAGCATTGCTCAGCACTGAAAAGAGACGCGCTGTGAAGCCACAACCACCCATGGGGAGCCACGTGCATACGACCAAGCCCAAGGGCCAGCCTGGGGGCTACGCGTGGCACGATTTCAACCGCACAGCGTCCTGGGGAAGGTGAGCTGCGGACACAGCGAGAAGCTGGGGGCCGCGGGCCACAGGCGGCGCGTGGGGCGGTTCAGGGCACCTGGGGCCGCTCGCCTCCCTCGGGGCCGTGGGCGGGCTCACTGTGCGCGCGTCTGAAACCGCAGGAAGCGCGGCACGGAGCGTGACCGCCACGGGACCCCGGGCACTCTGGCTGGTGCCACACGTCGGTGCAGGCCACCCGTGGCGGCAGATGCACCCTCTGCAGGGACGCGGGCCGGGGGGAGGCTGTGCGCAGGTGGGGGCGGGACATGTGGGGAATCTCTGTGTCTTCCTCCCACTTTTGTTGTGAAACTAAAACTGCTCTAAAAAGTAAGTTCCTTTTACAAACATAGGTGAAGTCCAGCCATTGACGGAGGGCTCCCAGGGCGGCCACAGGGCCGGCCGGGGGCAGGTTTTCTGACATGAGGCCCTGGGCTCGGGCGACCCCGCTTCTCTCTGCTGGAAGCCGAGCGGTCCCGGCATTTGCCCCCCGTAGATGAAGGACAGCCTTCGAGGAAACCTGTTTTGTGTCCAGCAGCCATACTGGAGCGAAAATGGCAAAGGAAAAATGTTAACTACATTACTGAATTAAATATATATATTGCCTCCAGTGAAGTTGAACTGTTGATGTAGACACGATGTGAGAAATGAGTCACACAGATCAAAGTTAGGCAGACATCACCGCCCCGAAGTCCCTATTTATCCCTCATCGAAGACTCTGACGCACGCTTATTGCAATTGCAGCCCACTATTTTCCATAAAAAGGCAGAGAACATTTGGGATGAACCGTGGCTGCTTTTATACATTTTTCCCCCCAAAGATCCAAATTTCCAGCCTCCTTGTCCGATCTTACAGAGTCTCCAGATAGGATACCTCACGGGCACAAATATCTTCCTGCAAAGCTGAGGCTATCGACTTGATTTGCACAGAGCTCACAGATGCTTAGTCATACCTGTCATCCCTGCGAAATTCCTTAATGACAGAGCGCTTCTCTGAGGCAACCGGGCGCGCGCCGGGCGGTCCGCGCGGGCCCAGAAACGCAGCCGCGCACAGACGTGGGCTGCGCGTGCGCCGGCACCCGGCCTGCTTCAGGCCAACGCACTGAGAGCGAAGGGAGTTCCAAACGCACCGACACGTGAATACGGGACAATTGAAATACCCATCACACGGGCACTGGGAAAAAATGATGGTGATAAAGTGTTAGGAACACTCTTGGGCCGTTCCTTCCAAAATACTTTAGAAAAACCCTAGGAATTTTAAATAAAGTAAAAGATTATTTAAATTGAGAAGGAAAAATTTAAAAATTAGTTGGTATATTTAAAAATCCTTTTCTCCCAATGCTGTATTTTTTTCTTCTTCCTTTTTTTTTTTGGCAAGGAAGTTGGGAGGCTCTCTCTGAGCCACTTTAATTTGTATTTGACAGTAAAATTAGGGTTTAAAATGCTTGCTTATTGAAAAGCTATTTTCAGGCCCAAACTACTGTTAATATATGAACTTACCCGAAACAATGGCTGAGTGAGCATGGCCGTTGTTTGTATCCGCTTTGGGATAATGAGTTGGCCCAATCGCCCTGCTCTCCCTCGCCCCCAGCCCCGCCCCCGGCCACGCTAGCCTGGATTCCTGCAGACGTAATTACGAGCTCTAATTAATTAGAACACATTGTTGCTGTCAAAATTGGAAAACGCTTTGGGTTATTCTCCAAGTCTGGAAAACGATCTAAACGGTGTGCCCTAACTCTACCTCCATTGTATTTAGAAAAGAGAGAACAAAATACTGAAAAAAGCCTTTTGGTCTCACGATTTCTGTCTGGCTGCTCTGGCTCGTTCTCCGTCCTTCTTAGTGTCAGGGAACAGTGTCCTTCCCGTGGTTGCCAGGAGGTAACCTTTCTTCCTGCTGCCTCTTCACAAGTGTCGTCAAAAGGCCCGGCTGCCTCCGATTCGGAGCCCGACCCTAAACCCTCAGAACTCCCTAATGAAGGGGCCAAACTTTAACACTAGGTCAAGCCTGGGCCGAAAACAAGAAACCAGAACAAGATGAAGGGAAGAATTAGAGCCCCCCTTAGTAACAAGATAGGATAATGACTGAGCCTTGACTCAGATAAACAGCCCGTAAAAGCAGGGTCAGAGCTGAGGATAAGGGAGGAACTAATACCAAGAAAGACATATCAGGGTGCAGCCCCCATGCAGCTGGGCCAGAGTCGACAAGAATAAGGAGGAGGCATAGGGCAAGAACAATACGGATATGGGCAGACTAAGGGGAACAAGTTGACCCACACTAGAACAAACAATACCCCAAGATGATGGAAGAATTGTGACACCCCCAGTAACAATGTAGAAAAACCAAACAGCCAATAGCTAACCGCCACCTCTTGCCCTTGTATCCTGCTTGCTTGCTCTGCTTATAAAAATCCATGTAATCTAACAGCAGCGCGCCTTTTTCCTTTCGAGGGAAAGGTGGCCCCTGCGCAGGTAAAACTTGGCCAAATAATAAAGAGTGTGTGATCAAACTCTAATTTCTGAGCTCATACTTGTGGGGATCGTAACATTTGGAGGCCCCAGCGAGATTCCCCCTTTTGTGGAGTAAAAGGACGGGAATCAAAGGGACCAGCTCGAGTTGGGTGAGTTAAACCGAGAGTTCTCTTAAGGGGAAGGAAAGGCTAGCCTTTGCAGCCCTGAGGTGGTAGGTGAGACGTCACCGGCAGTCCACCCAGGGGGCTCCCAAGGAGGGGACGCCCTCGGGAGTCGCGACAGGGTCGCCTGAGGTCGGTTTTGGTGCGCAGCGCGGGGAGAAACGGGTACGGGAGCGCATGCGAAAGTGCCGTGTGAGTGAGCGAGTGCCTGTCTGTGTGACTCCACGGGACAGCGAGCCTACGGAGTCTGAGTGGGCCCCAACCTGCGGTTCCTCGGTCTGTCATATGGCATAACGGCTGGGAGGTAACCCGGATTCTACTCGGGCAGCCTTAGCTAAGACAGACCCAAGTCCCTCGCGAGAGGAGAGGCCAGGCGGGCGAAAGTGAAAGTGCTTTAATCGTTCTTGTCTGTCTGAGTCGTCTCCTAAATGTGTGTGTGTGTGTGTGAGGCCGGCCGAAGAGTGAATGGCGTAAGTGAGAGAGTGGTGTGGAGCCTGGCTGCGTGTTTAATCTTGACCCTCCTCGGTCTCATAAGTCACGATCTTTGGACCCACATACGTAAAGACATGGGACAAGGGGGATCCACGGGAGCGGTCGAGGGTTCACCTTTGGATTGCATCTTGAAAAACAATCTCTGATTTCAGAAAGCGGGCGAAGCGCTATGGAGGGAGTCCTCCCGACCCGGAGACCCTCCGAACGTTCTGCCAGCTTGAGTGGCCCACCTTTAATGTTGGGTGGCCGACTGAGGGAACTTTCCACTTGCCAATTTGTTTCTCGGTCCAACGAGTCACCTACGTGGTGCCTCATCCGGACCAGCAAATCTACATCAATGTCTGGACGGATATTGCCACGGATAGACCGGGCTACGTCCGGAAGTGCAGCCAAGGGCAGGCAGGGACAAACAGGAGGGGTAGAGCGGTGTGCTTAGCCGCTGGATCGGGCGAGAGGAGAGGCCCCCAAGGAAATAGCAGAGGGGGGAGTGCTGAGCCCCAGCCGTCATCGGGACCTGAAGGGAACCGGCCGTATCCAGTCCTGCCAGGCCGGCCGGAGGACCCCTTAGATCCTGTTAACGCCCCACCACCGTATCCCGCCCTGGCGGCACCCGATTCCTCCGAGCAATCTGGGGAGGAACCTCTTACAGTAGTGAGGGACAAAAAGGCTGGCGCGCTCCGGACTCTAGAGAGCCTGCCCTGCTACCGCTCCGAGAGGCGCCCACGGCCCCGAACGCCCCTAGGGCGCCTCCCAGGCTAATCTCCGGACCCACCAGCCCACGTGGGATGATTGCCAGCAGATATTGCAGACCTTGTTTACGTCTGAGGAAAGGGAAAGGATCCTGAGGGAAGCAGGGAAGGCGGTTATGGGGGAGGAAGAAGGGAGTTGGAGGAAATACTCCCCTCCATCCCCCCCAACCCATTGGGATCCAAACACAGGAGGGGGAAGGGAGGCACTTCTACAGTACCGCCGAGCTCTGCTGAGGGGATTGCGGGCAGTGGCCCGCAAGCCCACAAATTTCGGAAAGGTGAGTGAGGTAGTGCAGGGACGAGACGAGACCCCTGGCGCATTCCTGGAAAGATTGATGGAGACATACAGGGTATATACCCCACTAGACCCAGAGGCAAGGGAGAATAGGAGACTCGTAAACATAGCCTTTGTCACGCAATCAGCCACGGACATAAGGAGGAAATTGCAGAAGATAAGGGTGCCAAATCAGGCCAAGCCGAAGAAGGGGAATCAGAGAAGGAAGGTTCTAGTGAAAAAGAGGAAGGTGAAAAGTGAAGAAGAAAGATAGGGGGAAAGGAACCAGAGAGAGAGAAAATTCGGGAAAAAGGAAAGGAAGGAAAAAAGGAAGGAGGTGGAGAAGGGGAATGAGAAAGGAAAGGAGGAGGGAAAGAGGAAGGAGCGGGAGACAGAGAAAGGAGGGGAGCCAGGCGAGAGAAGGATCAGTGCGCCATCTGCAGGGAGAGGGGGCACTGGAAGAGGGAATGCCCCAAGAGGAAAGAGACTGAGTTTGCCTAGACTGAGGAAGGGCGGAAGGCGTTTCAGGCCCTGAAGGAAGCCCTTGCCTCGGCCCCGGCATTGGCCTTGCCCGACCCAGCCAAGCCGTTCCTCCTCTATGTGGCTGAAAAACAAGGAATGGCCTTGGGAGTGTTGAGCCAGACCCTGGGCCCTTGGAAGAGGCCGGTGGCCTACCTGTCAACGAAACTAGACCCAGTGACATCAGGATGGCCAGCCTGCCTGAGGGCCATAGCGGCTACCTCAGTCCTGGTGAAGGAGGCGAGTAAGCTAACCTTGGGGCAAGACATCCAAGTAGTTGGGGAACACTATGTCGAGCAAGTACTCCGTGCACCGCCTGGTCGTTGGTTGACCAACGCACGACTGACTCAATATCAGGCTCAGCTCCTGAACCCCCTGGCTGTCAGATTCCTTAAGACGACTGCCCTGAACCCGGCCACCTTGCTACCAGTCCCCGAATCGGGAGTGACTCATTGCTGCCCCCATGTCCTGGAAGTGGTAGCCGGAACGCGGCCTGACCTGCGGGACCTGGCATACGAGAACGCGGACCTAACCTGGTACACAGACGGCAGCAGCTTCGTAAACAACGGACTCAGGTATGCTGGGGCAGCCGTGACAACAGCGGACGAGGTGGTATGAAAACAAGCTCTGCCCAAGGGGACATTGGCCCAGAGAGCAGAGTTGGTCGTGCTCACCCAAGCCCTCCGGATGGCCGAGGGAAGGACGGTCAACATTTACACGGACAGCAGGTATGCTTTTGCAACAGCCCATGTGCATGGGGCCATCTACCGGGAGCGCGGGTTGCTGACGGCTGGAGGTAAGGAAATCAATCGCCAGGAAATCCTAGAACTGCTAGATGCGCTGTGGATGCCCAAGAAGGTAGCCATCATTCACTGCCGAGGGCACCAGAGAGGAAGTGACCCCGTGGCAAGGGGTAACGCCCTGGCTGGCCTGGCGGCCAAAGAGGCGGCGAAGGAAAGGAAGCTGGAGAAGCAGGGGGAAGGATATAGGTAAAAGGTGAGAGGCAGGTAGGGAGAAGGAAGTGGAGGAGCAGGTGATAGTGATTGGAAGGAGGGAAAAGCCATTCAGGGAAAGAGAAAGGGAGATCATAGAGTCCGTAGTGTCCAGATGCCAGACATGCGCCAGGGTAAACGCACAGAATCAAAAATGCCCTCGATTTATCAGGCATAAGGGAAATACCCCTGGAGAGATCTGGGAAGTTGACTTCACTGAGATGTCAAAAGGGAAAGCAGGATACAAATACCTCTTAGTTCTAGTAGACACCTTCTCGGGCTGGGTGGAGGCCTTCCCCACAAAGGGTGAAACGGCAGCCACGGTAGGGAAAATCTTAGTCCGAGAAATAATTCCCAGATATGGCATTCCCGTGGCGATTGGATCAGATAACGGGCCTGTCTTTGTATCCCAAATATCCCAAAACCTAGCTGGGAGACTGGGCATAACCTGGAAATTGCACTGTGTGTACAGACCCCATAGCTCAGGGCAGGTAGAGAGAATGAATCGGACCTTGAAGGAAACATTGATTAAATTAGAGGAGGAGCTCGGGGAGAACTGGGTAGAATTGCTCCCCTTCGCCTTATTTAGGGCTCGATGTACCCCGTACACAGGAGGCTGGACGCCTTACGAAATCATGTACGGGCAGCCTGTGCCCCTAGTGCCCAAGCTGACTAGAGAGGAGATAGAGGCCTCTAATCATAACTTTCTAAAGTCCTTACAGGCACTGCAGGCCCTCAGAGAAGAAGTCCGGAGCCTACGAAGGGAGGAGAAGGAGGCAAATGAAAGAGGTGGCACTGGCGAAGTAAGGACACTGAACCCCCGGCCAGTGGATATAGATCCTGAACCACCGGCGAGGAAGCCTTGAACCCAGGTGGATCGGGCCATTCCAGGTACTGTTAAGCACCCCGACCGCCGTTCGGGTGGCCGAGAAACCCTACTGGATACACCTCTCTCACGTCAAGCCAGCTCAGGACCCCAGTGGAGAAAAACCATGGAGAGTTCGACAGGACCCAGAAAAGCCCCTCCGACTCTCTTTTACCCGCTCTTAATATTGATTGGACTAAGTTGGGAAACAAGTGGGTATGAGCTCCGGGAATGGGTATTGATAAGGACAAAGGATGGAACTGTACTCGCAAAGAACCAAACATGGGGTGAGAGGATAGTTTCACTTAGAGCTTATTTATCAGAATTCTTTGAGGAGAAGAGGAGAAGGAGGGCTTGGGGGGCTGTTGTGGGGAACGGACGAAGAACGAGATGAGGATTAAGGGGAGAAAGGGTTAGAAGGCAGGAGAAGACACTGAGTCAAGGATTTGACAAAGGATGAACAAGAAAAAGGGGGGAATGAAGGGGCCAAACTTTAACACTAGGTCAAGCCTGGGCCGAAAACAAGAAACTAGAACAAGATGAAGGGAAGAATTAGAGCCCCCCTTAGTAACAAGATAGGATAATGACTGAGCCTTGACTCAGATAAACAGCCCGTAAAAGCAGGGTCAGAGCTGAGGATAAGGGAGGAACTAATACCAAGAAAGACATATCAGGGTGCAGCCCCCATGCAGCTGGGCCAGAGTCGACAAGAATAAGGAGGAGGCATAGGGCAAGAACAATACGGATATGGGCAGACTAAGGGGAACAAGTTGACCCACACTAGAACAAACAATACCCCAAGATGATGGAAGAATTGTGACACCCCCAGTAACAATGTAGAAAAACCAAACAGCCAATAGCTAACCGCCACCTCTTGCCCTTGTATCCTGCTTGCTTGCTCTGCTTATAAAAATCCATGTAATCTAACAGCAGCGCGCCTTTTTCCCTTTCGAGGGAAAGGTGGCCCCTGCGCAGGTAAAACTTGGCCAAATAATAAAGAGTGTGTGATCAAACTCTAATTTCTGAGCTCATACTTGTGGGGATCGTAACACCTAACGGTCCGCTTGTTTTCTCGCAAAGACAGAGTCCTGCCATTCGGCCCCCTTCAAAGGTTTAGTTTTGTTTTTGCTTGTGGATTTTGTTTCCTGTTTTAGGTGCTTATTTCCTCTGGAAACCGATCCACGCAGTTGCACATTTTTATGAAAATACGCAGCTCGGGGAAGAAGTAAAAAGAGGGGGACCTGGAGAGCGGAATTTTGTGATCGATGCAAGTCGAGTTCTGGGATGAGTCAGCACATCTGAAAGAAACGAAACGTCTCGGACGACGCACCAGGGAGCACCAGGCAGCGAAGGGAGGGCAGGCGCTCTCGCCCTTCGCGACGACGCGCGGATGGGGCTGGAGAGCGCTGTGCTCAGGGAGCCAAGCCCGGCGGTGAAAGCCAAGCAGCGTCTGATCCCGCCTGTGAGTGGAACCGAAACAACACGTGAACAAACTAGAACCGGAGACAGGGAAATAGGAACAGACCGAGAGCTGCCGAGGGGAGGGGAGGGGGAGGGGAGGGAAAGGAGGGGAAGGGCCGCGTCGAGGACCCTGTACGAGCGGCCCGTGGACCAGGGGGCGGGGACTCCCTGTGGGAGCGGCGGGGGTGGGGCTGGGCAGGGGGAGCAAAGGGGGAAACGGGGGCAACTGCAATAGAACAACAATGAAACGTTTAATAAAAAACTGCAGATGACACACAATATTGAAGAACGGACTTTGAACGGTCAGTACGAGAGGTCACCCCGGAGCACGTTATCACCCCCTGCAACAGCCGCTGCGGAGGCCTCTGTAAAGGAGGACAGGCTGAGCGCAACACATCCCGCGGTCCCCTCTGCGCACGTTTGGGACCCACGCGAGGGATCGCTGGCTTTCAAAGCAGCGGGTGCGGGGCCGGCTCACTCGCTACACGGCCGCCAATCACCAGCAGCACGGCCCGCCCCAGGAGCTCCAGCGGGACCGGAGCCGTGTGTGGCCTTGACCGTCTGCGGCCGGGTCCCCGGTTCCTCACAAGGGCGCGTGCGGAGTGACCGAACGGATGGGCGAGTGAGCGAATTGGAAACTCATGCGCGGAAGTGGCTGAGATGGGATGGGAAAGACAAAGTCACCTCTGTTACTTTGTTAGTAAATCAGCTCGTTTACCGGCTGCAAACAGTGACCTTTCTGCGCAGATGAAACGCAAACCCGCCACCAGGGCCCGGTCCCCGGTTCAGCAGCGGCGCCGGCTCCCGCTGAGCTCCGGTGGCTGGGACTGCCGCCTTCGGCTCTGCCGGACCATCTCCGAACGCCTGCAACGCACCACGGAGACCTGCCGCTCCCACCTGGGGTCTTGGGACCGCAGCTGCCTCAGAAATACCTGGAAACGCTTGTTAAATTTCGGGGTGGCTGAGCCCCAGCTTGGATCTACCAAATCCGCGTCATTAGCGGCAAGGCCCCTGCTGGGCCCTTTTCCACACGCCGCCTGCTGATGCCTCCACGCTTTGAAGTGGGAGCCCGGCCTGCATCAGACAGAGTTTTCCCTGGGAACCGCCAGGACACTCAATAAAAACCAACAACAACAACAGAAAGCGCACGCCAGCTGTCCAGGCCTCCCTCTCCACTCGCTGACAGAATCCGCGGCGGCCTGGCTGGGATCTCTCTTGTGCGATTCTTTTCATTAAGACAATTTGAGGGCAATGCTCTATTTTTCGTGTGTTTGTTTAGTTTGGTTTGGTTGTTTCGCCTGAAGAGGAAACAGGCACAGCACGTCCTTCCGTCCCCAGGTGCCTACATGGTAAAAAAAAAAAATTCAAGGAGAAAGTGCTATTTTCCTAATCCCAGAGCGAGCAGATCAGGCAAGACCCAGCCTCCAGCCTTCTCCTCGTTAGCTCGTGGTTCGTGTTACAATAGCGTGTCCTGCATAAGGCACCTTTTATTATTGCTGAGAACACGTATTGAAAACCATGCCCACCATATACATGTCATTGCCTGGGGCCACGGGCGTGAGTTCCACGTGCAAGAAGTGACTGGTGAACGAACGAGCATGTGGGCGAATGAGTGAGCAGGGAGGAGGCGCATCCGGAGCCTGCCGGAGGTCAGGGCGGCCGCGGGGCCTGTCCGTGGGCGGGACGCCAGCTGACGGGCACCCCGGGCGCCGCGCTAACCCTGAGGCCGCGGTCCCGCGTTCCTCCCTCTGCCTCTCTCCAGCACACACAGGTGCAGTGCAGGAGTGTGTGTACATTTGCACACATGTGCCTTTGTGCATGTGCCATGTAGGCACTGCTCTGTGAGTACGTGCTCTACACAGGGTGCGGGGCGAAAGGCGGCCGCACGGCTGGGCGAGCCCTGGGAAGACGGGCGTGGGCGCAGGCGCGGGGGCCCCGCTGCGGCATCTGCACATGTCGGAGCCACACAGAGCGCCGTTTCCCCTGCGAGCACGGGACACTCTCGTCTTAGAAGCATAAACCTTCGTTCATCAGATTTATTTGCAAACTTGCCACGTGTAAAGGGTCCCTTTACATGGGATGCAAGGTCAGCAGGGCCTGCCCTTGGGGAGCAGGCGGAGCGCAGGGGACGCAGCGCCAGACGTGTGGGCGCATGCAGAGAGCGTGCCCGCCCGCTGCCCGAGGCAGGTCAAGACCTCAGGTTCTGGGCGTGTTTGACGGTCGTCTTACCGGACGGGGTGAAACCTGGGCAGCCTTCAGGAAGCGGCAACGTCTAGGCTGGGCCTGGAGGGTTTCGGAGGCGGCAGGAGGAACGTTCTAGGGGGACAGAACAACAAGGACAAGTCAGAGAGACAGCAAGAGAGGGGCCCGTCCAGGACACGTTGGCACAGTCGCAGCGCAGGGGATGAGGAGCGAGGCTGGGACTGGGAACCAGAGTCGGGCCGCGGTGGGCGCGGACGAGGTCAAGACACAGGAGCTTCGTTCTACTGTGAGCTCACAAAAGTTCCCCGATAACTACGGAAGGGTAAGGCGCCCAGAAACCGTGTTGTGAGAATGGAGTCCCCGCCCCGACGGGGCTGAGTCGCCCTGAAACGCGGGCGCGCCTCCCCGCCCAACCTCGCTGCAGAATTTCAAATGAGGGGCTTCAAACATGTTCCATGTTTATCTTCACTGAGCCGTTTCCAAAGCCGAGGCGCAGGGGGCTGGCGTGCGCACCCAGCCGCTGCCGGCCTTGAGCTGATGGACGCGCTGCTGCCTTTGAACTTCGCTTCCGGTCCACACTCCCCAACGTCCCCGCTGGACCTGTGCCTCTTCCTCCCTCCACCTGCCGGGCACCCCCCCATCCCGAGCATGCAGACCCCCGACACAGCAGGCGGCCCTGCTGAGCGTGGTCGGATGGCAGGCATGTCCTCGGCGGCTGACCGCTGCGGGTTGGCATGGCCTGGTCAGACGGCAGTGCCGGCTGCACAGGTGACGTTTAACGTCCCCAGGAGATGCCTTTTAAGTGAGAAGAAACAGGTGAAACTAACTGTGGTCATGTATTTTGTTTCACATTAGGTATAAAACGTTATTTCCACGCAGACTCGGCACGCAGAGTTCTTAGCGAGAGGTAAGGCGGTGTCCCTCCTGGACCCGGTCTCCCCACGCCGCTGTGCGTTTCGGGCACGGCACGCCCGGTGGCTGGGGCCGTCCCGCCGGGCCGTGGGCAGTAGGTGGGTTTGCTGAGTGTCAAACGGAGCCCTTCGAGGGGATTAGAAATGCGGCAGCGTTGCGTGGTCTAGCACAGCAGGGCTCGCCCCCTGACGTCTTTGAGCGCTTTCACGTGGCTCTGCAGTGCAGAACGGAATCTTTAATTGTATTTCGTTTCCATGCAGGTAAACAACCGCACAGGGCGGTAGCCGTCATGTGGACGGGACAGCTCCAGACGCTGAGAAGCCACGAGAGTGTCTGAGGAGGGGACGGCCTCAGGAGAGCGGACGGTAGGACCGGCCACGGAACCGGGCACGGCAGCTGTGCCCGGGGGCTCCCCCTTCCGCCGCA